CCGCGCTTCTGACTGTACCCAGTGCATGTATAAACAAAAAAAAAAAAAAAAAAAAAAAAAACAAATAAAGAAAACATGCCTCTATATAAAAAAAAATAAATATATATATATATATTAAGAGAAATATAAAGCTTAACAGGAAAACATCAGTTTATAGTCTACTTGAGGAGGAAAACAAACATTTGATTTACTTTGCTAAATGTGGTAAAGGAGGTAGATATAAAGAATGATTAATTCAGTTAGGCAGCAAACTGACAATGAAAAGAATATTGGCTTTAATGTTAGAGTTCTACTTTGCATATTTTGTGGGACCTTGTGCATATTTCACCATTCTGCATCTGTTCCTTCATCTATAAAGTGGGTGTTTGAAATTAAGTAATATGTGAATAAGCACTTTACATAGTACCTATTAAATAGTAACTTGAGAAATATTGGTAATCAGACTTCTCAGAAAACCTCATAAGAATAGGAAATTAGAAAATAGGGTATACAGGGTCTCCCTGGTGGCTCAGCGGTTGAGCGCTGGGTTGCGAAGCTGCCCGCAGCCTCTGCGATGCCGGTTTGATCCCCGGCTGCTCCCTGGCCACCAGAGGAGGGTCCCACATGGCGCGCAGACCTCTCCTGCCGCCCGCTGCTCCCCTCAGCAGTGTACTTCGGTCCTTCTGCCTGCTCTGCTCCCCGCTCTGGCTCTGGTGAATTCTCTCACCCTCCCGCGCTTCTAACTGTACCCAGTGCATGTATAAACAAAACAAACAAACAAACAAATAAATAAATAAAACATGCCTCTATAAAAAAAAAAAAAGGAAAATAGAGCATACATAACACAATTTAGAGGTAACGGAATTAGTGGTACCTCTGGTAATTTAAGGGTACCAATGGAGGAATCAGGGGGGAGTTTGTCTGACTGGAGCAAAGGGATTATATTTAGCCTTGTCAGCCAAGATAAGAATTTTCAGGTACACTGTAGTAATCCTGGCCAAATATTAGGCCCTGAAATATGGTATTAGTTGTGGAATGTTAAAACAAATATAGTAATAAATGTTAAGGATTTAATTTGTGGGGAGGGAGTGGCATTGGAGGAACAATTAGGGATAACAATCAGATTTTTGGATTTAGAGTTGGAAGGTGGATGAAATCTGTCAGAGATAATATAAGGGGGGCCAAGGCCTAAGGAAAACAGGCACTCATGAAGCAAGCAGAAGAAACAGATCTATTGAAGGAGGAGAAAGAAATGACAATATCAGGAGAAAATCAAGAAAGACCATCTTTCAGAAATGTTTTCTCACATGCAAATGTATTTTAGACACTTTTCCCTATTAGTAATAAGACTTTGTCTTTTTTTAGTGGGTGTACTATTCCTTATTGGTATATATTTAAGTGTTTTAGCTGCTTTAAAAAAAAACAACGCAGGGTTAATAATTTTTTAAGATTTATTTATACAAGCAAGAACTGGGGTGTAGGCCAGAGGTGTGTGTGGAGAGGGGATGGGGGGGTGAGAGGATTCACCAGAGACAGAGTGGAGAACAGAACAGGCAGACCTACTGAAAAACACTGCTGAGGGGAGTAGTGGGTGAAACAAGAGAGGTCTGCTGCCCCAAATGGGTTTGCTTATTGATGGGGGGAGGGGGGAGAGGGGGGAGGGGATCAAACGTTGGCCACAGCGGCTGGCCATAACTTTAACCCTTGCACCACCAGGAGGCCCCAGGGTTAATATTTTTTTGTGGAATTATCTTTGCATACTGTTATGAATGCATCTGTAGACTACATTCTTACAAATGGATTTGCGTAGTCAAAAGAATATGCATTAAAATTTTCATATATTACTAGATTGGGGTATATGTGCTAATATACACTCCCACCAGTAGTAGCTTAAAATTTATTCTTTTTAATTTTTTTTAAAAATTTATTTTTATTTATACAAGAGCTGGGGTACAGGCAGGAGTCATGAGAGGGTGAGAGGATTCACCAGAGACAGAGCGGGGCGCAGAACAGGCAGACGGACCGAAGCAGTGGGCAAGACAGGAGAGGTCTGCCTCGCCATGTGGGATTCTCCCTGGCCGGCTGGGAATTAAACCAGCGCTGCCAAGGTTGCGGGCAGCCTCACAGCGCAGCACTCAACCTGCTGCACCACCGAGAAGGCCCTTAAAATTTATTCTTAAAGGGCTTGCTTCCTAGGTTGAGAGTCGTAGGAATTTGAAAAATAGTATTTTAAAATTTATTTTATGAAAAGTTAAAGAGAAAGGGAATGCTTTCATTTTTATCAGATTACTTGGTTCATTCAATAATGTAATTTAAGAATGCATTTTGTCCTTGTTAACGCCAAATCAAGGAGGAATCTTTGATTAAAAAAAAATTCCCTGTTCCCTTTTATAAATGCTGGAAGCAATAATCTGGTTTAGAGAAAGTGACTCTGAAGGAAAGAGAATGATAGTATTATTGTGAGGTAGATTAAACCTTGAACAGAACTGGCACCTGCAAACAGTTCTTGCATTGTTGTTGATGTACTGACATTACCAACACAAATTCTGTGCTAAGACTTTGTACAGAAATATTTTGAAAAAAAATTTTGCTTCTTGTAGCAAACTTTAAGCTATGACTCCATTACTATAAAATGAGTTATTCTTGTAAAACATCGTTGAAGAGTTGTTTTAGAAAATATCCAAAGCAGAAATACTGCAGAAGCTTTAAGTTGCACTTCTTACATAATTTAAAAATTTAAAAATATGAACAAATTTCACAGCTTGGGTTTTTTTTCCCTTAAATTAACTAATGCTGTTCACAGTATATAAATGTAGCAGTCACTATCTCTTTTGGTGATACTGGGGGGAAATTTTTAGTTTCAGTCATTGTCTCTAAATTTTGCAGTAGCCCTTTTCTCGTACTTTTTTGTATTCTGGATTATGATCAATTTCTGGTTCGTAAAATCAATCTAGGAAGTCATGACCAGTTTATAAGAAAAAATGAAACAGAACTAATAATACCAAGAGTACACAGAAAGTAAGGAAATAGTGTACATTTAAAAAATGCATACATTGGGTCATTTTGCAAAATGTATTTTTTCTGTGGATTACAGAGGGGGAAGGTTTGAAAACGTCTGTTTTATATGACAATCTAGCAAATTTCTAACCAAAGATACATGGTACATTGCAAATAATAAATCTTATAGTTTTCTTTTTTTCCCCTTCTTTCCTTTAGCCTTCTACCTCTTAGGAGAAAGTAAAACTTTAAACCAACACCACCACTATTAAAAGGACAACCAACTAGAATTATGTTTGCCATGAGAATTCCTTCCATAGTTTCCATGAAGTTATCAGTACAGGTACACCTGCTGTGGCATTATCTGTATATATCCTTACCCCCTGACACTCAGCCTCATGAACACTCTTTTGGTATGTGTTTATAATTGACTCTTCAGATATACACAGCTTTTATTTTATGATAATTCCTCCCCAAGAATGTCATTTAATGTAATCATGGGTAATTTTTGCCTGTTCTAAAGCCTGGTTCATTTTCTGTTTGCCTTCTGTCACTTTGTATCTCTAGGATATCTTTTTATCAGCTGATGGATGGCTAGGTAACAAATTTAAGTAAAATTAATAGCATTTAGCAAAAAACATAATTTGTGGGATAAATCTGTGGGATAAATCATTATATAAGTCATATATTAAGTACAGACTTAGGAGTTTAAGATTATCTAGGACATGTCTGTTTCCTTTTTCATTAATTCACATAGCTGAATTCTAACTGCATGTGGTTGCAGCTTTGTAACCTTTACTAGATGCTTTTTTCTCTAAAAGGTAAGCTTTCATAGGTAGTGTTTTGTAATATAAACAGTAGCAGGGACAGAGGAAGGACAGCTGCCGAGGGCCTACCAAGGTACACATACATTTGTTACAGACTATGGTCTTTAATTTTGGAAGTCCACAAATTAGATTTTTTTTCCCCCTAGAATACTCTAGCTTTTGAGATTTAATCCATCAGTCTTGACCAGCATGCTAATTTAAAACTTTGCAGCAAGAAATTTCTTTCAAAGCATGTCAGCTATTCATGTCAGTTGATTGCAAAATCTGTGGGAAAAGTTTACATGAAGTACCAAAGAAAGTTGCTGAGAGCAGAGAACAAGAGCAAGGGAAATTAGTTGCACTATCCAGAGTAGCATTAAACTCCAGGGACACCAGTTGATATCTCCACTTTTACTGAGAAACTGCCCCAAATTGAAGAAGATCTTCATCTTAGCTGTTCAGTTAAAAGCACAGATTTTTTTTTTTTCCTTTAGATGTTTCTGTTTCCTAGTCTGCCTTATATAAGTGCTACCCCTCTCAATATATTCTTCAGACTGCTTGGAGCATAAATGATTGGATTTTTTTTTTTTCCTTTCATGTGTATCATTTCAGACCAGCCTCTTTCATATCACAGTTACCTTGGTTGAACATAGGTGGTTTCTAACTTATTTGGTAGAGCACTAAGATACCAGAGATGAGGGTGTAGGAGGCAGCATTTCAAGAATGGTCAGTGGACAGTGTGTACTTATAGAGGTGGTTGCCTCTGGGGATTCCTGGTGGCAGGGGGTCAGGAGTTAAAGGGAAATTAATTTTTGTTATTTACCTTTCTGTTTCTTTTGAATTTTTAGCTAGAAAATTGTGTTACCTATTTTAAGAATAAAAATACACATTTTTAAATTTTAAATAAAATTAAATTGGGGGGGAAAGAGAGGTCAGTAGGAATAATGTATTCAGTTCCTACTGTGAGCCAGGCCTCAAGGAAGCATGATCAGCAACAGAGGCCTTAGCTTGTGCACTTTGTCTTTTAAGCTTAAGTAAAGTAACTTTTGCAAGACAAATAGAATGATAGGATGGAAATCAAATTGTGTTGACTTGAGGTATGAGTGGGGGTTTTGGAAGTAGAGATAGTGAATATACCAGGCCCCTTCAAGAAGTTTGATAGTGAGGAGGAGGAGCGCTGCACAACACGGAAGGGAATTGTTTTGTTTTGCTCTAAAGAGGGAAGAGTCTTGAACCTCAGGCTGAAGAGAAAGCATCCATACTAATGGAGAAAATTGAAGACCCAACCCCTTGACCAAGAAGAAAACAGAGGCTCAGGTTATCTTTAGATAATATTGTGGAGGTAAGCAAGATTTCAGTACAGGGCCATAAAGATCCTATTATTAGATTCTATTTTCATTGTAAAATTTTGAGGATATTGGGGTGGGAAATTAGAGTGGCTAATTAATTCTGCCACCATATAATAAGAGCAGAGAGTTCCAGGGGGAGGGAAATATTTTCAGTAAGCTAATCCATTTATCCTCCCTGCCACTTCTCTTTTGTCACCTTTGTTATCAAGGCGCATACATGTCATTTATTCAATTTCAGATTGAAATATCTTTTGGGAAAAATAACTAATAAACTCTCAAATATTATCAGTTGATATAATGAGTTAAAAGTAAAACAATTTCTGTTTTTGTTTACCTTGTTTAATTTTTACTGCGAAACTATACATCACAAGTAAAATGCCTCATGGATCTGCACAGAAGGTTAAAAGATATCGTAAAAGAAAGGTTCTTTCATAGAATTTGAGAAAACCAACTTCTATAACTCTTGTTGCTGTTTAGCAACATTTATATTAATGTATATGATATTTGTACTTTTGTGAAATCATCCTTATTGACAGGAAGACAGAAAATATGGTTGTCATTTCTGGCAGGCTGGCCTTTTGATTGTGATTAACTTAGGTATAAAGATATGTTGCTGCTTGTTTTCATTGTTTACTACATTTAGTACTATGTACATTTATATTGAAAAAAGAGATTCACTTCTTGGCATTGGTTTTACTTTCTTCATTTTAGCTGGTAAGCATCCTTTTTTCTCCTTCCAAATTACTGTGGAAGTTTTAGAAATCTTTTTCTGAACAACTCAGAAACATGAAGGGGGAATTTTTATAATTCTAATATTTGCTGCCAGTTATTCCTGCGCCATTTTTCAAACATTTAGTTTTGGACTGATGGACCTATCAATAGTTATACTGCTATAAGGGATTATTTAGCCCATTTAAGCTTTTATTTTTCATCTGTAAAATAAGGATGGTAATCCCTACCTCATAGCATATTGTGAAGATTAAATAGTGTGAGATAATTCAAGAATGCTTTTCTCAGAGTATCAACACACAGTAAGCACTGAATAAATACTAAATATTGATATTGATGCAAGCAGAGTTTGAAAGCACATGGGATATACTATTTTTTTGACAAATGTTTTAAGTAACACTGTATATTATTATATGTTGATAATATATTCACATATTACACCATTGATGTCTATGACTTAGGTTTTTGTTTTGAATTGACAAGTTGTACAGATTCATGGAAGTTTGATTAAGTAGACGTAAAGTTTATAGCCCCTACTGAGCTAATATGCTGAGGACAGAGCACTCAAAAAGAGAAAATAAAATGATCATTTTGTAGATTTAAAATGTTGGAGGCATGAAAACTTGTGACCTCACAGCCCTATAATCTGTACATGTATTCAAAAACAAAAAGCTGACTGAAATCCAAATCTTGATAGGACTAAAAAGAAGGGCTCTTCTGTTTTTTAAATGGCATGATGATTCTTTAGCAGTAATGTAAGCTGGACAGATTCATGACAGTACATTTTGATAGTATTTTAAAACTCCCATGAGGCTATTACCGTAAAGACTTGAATAATTCAATCTATTATAAAATCAGCAAAGTTTGTGATGCAAATTGATGTTGTTAATTGTTTATGTAACATTTTTATTCATTTTTCTAAAGAAAATACACAATTTTTCCATTGCTTGCCCTAATGACTTAACTAGTGAGACTAATTCTAATCTCTGACATATTGGGTAAAAGTTAGCAATCTTTACGCGTGTGATTCATTACCTAACTTTGCCTGGTGTAGCTTGTACTATTTAAATCAATAGCATGACATCAGCTAGACAAATCTGCAAGGGAAGGATGCCTTCCCAAATTCTCTTATCTCTTTTGCTCTCAGTATTTTTAGGATACCCCATTTACTACATTCAATCATGAAAGCCTCATGTCTATTTGTGTATACTATGGCGCGAATCTTTCCTATATACCCCCCCATTACATGTTTACTGCTCTCTTGACAGGTCTTGGAAGAAGCAGTTATAAAACTGGCAAGTTTAACGCGCACGCGCGCTTGTTCAGGTTATAAAGAACTTGGATTGATTGAGACTCCTTGTGGTGTGGAGTAAGTAGTTTATTAAGAAGGATCAAGAGGGCCTCCCCGGTGGTGCAGTGGTTGAGCGTGGGGTTGCGAAGCTGCCCCCAGCCTTTGCAGCACCAGTTTGATCCCTGGCTGCTCCTGGCCACCGGAGGAGGGTCCCACATGGCTCGCAGACCTCTCCAGCTGCCCGCTGCTCCCCTCAGGAGTATACCTCGGTCATTCTGCCTGCTCTGCTCCCCGCTCTGGCTCTGGTGAATTCTCTTACCCTCCCGCGCTTCTGACTGTAGCCAGTGCTTGTATAAATAAATAAATAAATCTTTAAAATTAAATAAATAAATAAGTCTTTAAAAAAAAAAGAAGGATCAAGAAACATTTATCGAGGTTGCCATGTGCCAGGCACAGTATTAAAGCAGCTCTTGTATCCCAATTTCTTTTTTCTGTTAAGTAGGAATAGTTATTTAAATTTGTGTAAGTCAGACTTAATATGTAAATTCATTATCAAATAATATTTGAGTTAACAAATAACATTTAACAGGGGGACCTCCCTCCTAGCATAAGGGTCAAGTCTCAGGTCCATCACACTATCACTGCTGTGGCCTGAGTTCTATCCCCAGCCAGGGAATTAACTACACAGCACAGCAGACCTCTCCTCTCTCACCAGCTGCTCCACTTAGCAGTGTATTTCAGTAGATACACCTGTTCTGCTCCCCACTGTCTCTGGTGAATTCGTTCCCCCCACCTCCCACTTTGCACCTCTGGCCTACACCCCAGTTTTTATATGCATAAATAAATAATCTTTAAAAATACATATATAACACTTAACACATTTCACTGAGCTGGCCTGGGCACAGGAATTTTCTAGAAAACTTTGGGCCCCCTTCACACAGGTTGGCATTTTTGACTGCAGCTTTGGAGCAGGAGCATTGTCTTAGGTTCCCCAAGGGTGACTTGGGCCAACACCAAGACCTACAAGAGGACAATGTACAACCCAGGTTCTTCCCATTAATAGGTGACAGTTTTAGAAAAATGGAAATATCTGTAGCCTGAGACTGTAGTAGAGCTTTAACACCTAGGAGAAAGAGTATCTTGCCAAAGTATGACAGAAAGAAAAGAAACTACTTTTGTGTTGTTGGTTTGGTTACAAAGTTCCTGATTCAGATCTTTGTATTTGCCTTAATGTGGAGTTTCAAATAGTCCTTGAACCAGTAAAATACTCCTTTTTTCAAACAATGAAAAGTTTTAGAAAAAAGCAGTGTTAACCACAACAGATTCTAGTAGAAAGAAACATTACAGATAGTTCTTTAAAAACAAAATATTATGGGAATAGTATTGTATTCTAAAAGATAGTTTGACAGTTTTTCACAAACTACACATGTACTTACCATGGGGCCCAATAATTACACTCTTGGCCATTTATCCCAGATAAATGAGAATTTCTGTTCACACAAAAACCTATACACAAATGTTCTTTATTATACATGTTGTTATTATATGTCCTGTTAATGTGTTGTATATAAATTATTTATAATATTAAAATACTATAAGCAACCTAAACGTCCTTCCTTTGGTGAATGGTTAAACAAACTGGTATATCAATATCATCAAAGGAATAATACTCAGCATTAGAATATTACTCAGCATTGCCAAAATAAGTTCTAGGTGTACTAAAAATGGTTTTTTTAGCCTCTAAAAGTAGAAAAAAATAAAAGTGAATATTTATTAAATCTTAACCTTATATGATAGAAAAATAAAATTATAAATTTGATTAACCTGCAACAACCAGCTGGAACTTAAGGACATTATACTGAGTTTACAAAGTCAGTCTCAAAGGTTATATGCTGTTTGATTTCATTTACATAACACTTGCATTGACAAAACTGTAGAGATGGACAATAGGTTAGAGATGCCCACAGACAGGGATGGGTAAAGAGTGGGGACAGTTTATGCACATTCATAGCAGTTATGTACATTCATAGTTACATGGATCTATATGTGGATAAAATTATGAATTTTTTTATAGCTTGCAAAAATCTGTTGGATTTTGTAGTAAACATTTTCCTCATGTATGTAACTTAGCAACTATGAATTTTAGGAAGTATTCATTGCTTATGAGCTAGATTTGGTTGTTAATCCTTCCTTTACTTTTTTTTTTATTTTTTTTTATTCCCCATACAATTGCACCCCCCTTATTTTGACCCCAATCCCTACTCTCCCCACCCCACCTGCATAGTGTGTCTCTGGTTTATAGTTGCTTGTTGATTTTGATTTTTTCTTTATTATAGTTATTCTTTTTCCTCCTTCCTTTACTTTTAATCTTAGGTCTGTCTTATGGCACTTTTGACTGTTTAGTACAGAGGAACAACAACCCAGCCATACATTCCATTTAAAAACTAAATATTAAAAAAAGAAGATACTATAAATTAGTGGGTTAGAGAGGATTATTCAATAAATGGTTTTATAACTGCTTGGTTGTTTAGAAAAGAAAAAATCACATAGACCTTTACTTTAGGCCATATGCCAAAATAAGTTCTAGGTGTACTAAAAATGTTTTTTTTTTTTTAAAGCCTCTAAAAGGAGAAAAAATAAAAGTGAATATTTATTAAATCTTAACCTTGTATGATAGAAAAATAAAATTATAAATGAAAATATCAATTGTTTTGACTCTTTAAAAACTAACTTGGGAAAATAGTTTGGCAGGTTTTTTTTTTAACATTAAGCACATATTTCCTAGGCAACCCAGCATTCACACACTGGTTATTTTTATCTTAGAGAAATGAAAACTCATGTTCATGTAACAATTGGTACACAAATGTTTTTAGCAGCTCTATTCATAATTGTAAAATACAGAAAACAACCCAAACATTCTACATGGAGTAAATGGAAAAACAAACTAGTACCTCTATACAGTGGATTACCATTTAGCAATAAAAGGGAATGAACTATTTATACATAGATAGACCATGAAGGCATTGTACTGAGTGGAAAAAAGCTTCAAAGAGTTATATTTTATATGATTCATTTACATAGACCTATGATGGAGGATAAGTCACTGGTTGTCAAGAGCTAGGATTTAGGGAAGCATTTGATAATGCTGTGACTATGGTGACATGGGGGTGTTTCTTTTTTTAAAAAAAAAAAGATTTATTTATTAATACAAGCACTGGGTACAGTCAGAAGCACGGGAGGGTGAGAGAATTCACCAGAGACAGAGCGGGGAACAGAACAGGCAGAAGGACTGAAGTACACTGCTGAGGGGAGCAGCGGGCGGCAGGGGAGGTCTGCGTGCCATGTGGGACCCTTGCCCGGCAGCTGAGGATCGAACCGGTGCTGCAGAGGTTGCGGCAACTTCGCAACCCAGCGTTCAACCGCTGCGCCACCAGGGAGGCCCAACATGGGAGTGTTTATTAATATTGATAAAACAGTTACCCCAACTGAAGAGATGGTTATGTGAATCTAAATTATTAAGTAAAAGAAGCAAGTCACAGTATATACCTGCTGCATACTGTATGATTCTGACTATATGACATTCTGGAAAAGGCAAAAATATGGAGACAGTAAAAAGATCAGTAGTTGCCGGGGACTGGAGATAGGGGGAATTAACTGGTGAAGCACAGAGGATTTTTAGGGCAGTGGAAATACTCCATGTGATAGTACATACATGTCTTTATACATTTGTCCAAACCCACAGAATGTGTACTACCAGGAGCAAATCCTGAAAAACTATGGACTTTGAGTAATAATGATGTGTCAATAGAAGTTTATCATTGTAACAAATTTACTTGGATCAGAAATAAACATTATATAGCAAAGTAAGAAAAATATTAGAGATAAAATTTTCATGTCATTTTAAATGAAGATTCATATGGCAAACCCTAAGTTCTCAGTGAACTTGACAGAGAGCTTAAGAGAACAAGGAAGTGTCCCAAGAGAGAATATTGTAAATGTGCTTTTGTACATTCACATTTGTAGAAATTTCTGGAATCCCCAGATTCAGTAATGTGCTACTTTTCTTTTTGCCAGTATATTATAGCTGTGCAAAGTAGTATTACTTAAGAGAAAAATAGTTTGACAGATACAGAGCACTGTAAATTTGCATTGGTTTGAAGTAGCTTTGAGAGAATTTTGAAAGACCTGTTACATGTGATTTTTTTCTTTAAACAGGTGTAAATTAATTATCTGAAAGCAACTGAACGATGGAGCCAGACATCATTCGAATGTACTCTTCATCCCCGCCACCACTAGACAATGGAGCTGAGGATGATGATGACGATGAATTTGGGGAATTTGGTGGATTTTCAGAAGTTAGCCCTTCTGGTGTAGGGTTTGTTGATTTTGATACACCAGATTATACTCGTCCCAAGGAAGAATTTGTACCTTCAAACCATTTTATGCCAATTCATGATTTCTCGGAAAATGTAGATAGCCTTACAAGCTTTAAATCCATTAAAAATGGTAATGATAAGGACATCACTGCTGAACTAACTTCTGTGAAAGAACAGTCTGATGTTTTACTTTCTACCACCAGCAAAGAAATAATATCTAAAACTTTAGCTACTTCTGTTGATGGCATGGAAAGTTCAGTAGATTTAAATAAAGTGGTGGAGCAGAGACAGAATGTTGAAACACCTGAAAGTTTCTCTCCAGGAGATTTTAGAACTGATATGAATGTTCATCAAACCAAGCGGTTAGAGAGCTGCAATGGTGAAAAGCCTCCTTGTCTGGAGATTCTAACAAATGGGTTTGCAGTATTGGAAACTGTAAATCCTCAGGGAACAGATGATCTAGACAATGTAGCTGATTCAAAAGGACAAAAACCTCTTAGCACTCATAGTACTGAATTACCTAGTCCTGCTGAGGAATTTGCAGATTTTGCCACATTTTCAAAAAATGAGAGAATACAACTAGAAGAAGTAGGATGTGCAGTTTTAAATGACAGAGATGCCCTAACCATTCAGGAAAACGATAAAATTAATAGAGTCAGTGAACTGAATTCTGTAAAAGAAGTATCTTTGGGTAATAGCTTTGATAATGAAGGAGACATTGATGGAGAGGAGCAGCCTTGTGTTTCAGAAATAAACATGAGTAACAGAGGTTTCAGTACTGAAAAACAAGGTCTTCCAACATTGCAACAGGATGAATTTCTAAATTCAAGCATCCAATCAAAGAGTTGGAGTTCGGTGGACTCGGTTGATAATTCAGAAACCAGTAAGAGAGAACAGTGTAAAACTGAGGCAAAACTTGACTTATTTACTCCTAAATGTTCTGACTTACGCATGGATTCAGTTAAAACTTCTGATGAAGTTGATTCTTCCAAAGAAGAAAGTAGAAATTTTATTAATTCCCAAAACCCCGGCATTGATCCCACAGAAGAAGGTGTTTTGGATGATTCTATAAGTGTGAAAAATGATGATAGTAGTAATGACTTTGTGACTTGCAACGATACCAATGAAGATGATTTTGGTGACTTTGGCACAGCAAGTGGCACAACTCCACCTTTTGTTAGTGGTACTCAAGATTCAATGAGCGATGTCACTTTTGAAGAATCCTCAGAGCACTTTCCACATTTTGGTGAACCAGGTGATGACTTTGGAGAATTTGGGGATACAAATGCTGTTTCTTGTCAAGAGGAAATTATATTTACTGAGTCAGATCTAAAACAGACTTCTGATAGTTTATCAGAAGGATGTAAATTGGCAAGAAAGTCTACTGGGATAGGCACTGAACCTGTATCAAAACTGAAGATTGGGCAAGAAGGTGAGTTTGGAGATTTTGATTCCGTGCCAAATATTCAAGATGACTGTAGTACTTTCCAAGATTCTGATGATTTTGCGGACTTCAGTTCAGCTGGTCCTAGCCAAGTTGTAGATTGGAATGCTTTTGAAGATGGGCAGAAAGATAATTGTTCTTGGGCTGCCTTTGGAGACCAGCAGGCTACTGAATCTTACCATCGAAAGGAGGCCTGGCAGTCACATAGGACAGATGAAAAGATTGATACTCCAGGAACCCCCACAATGCACCGTGTCCCTCTGACAACTCCCAAAGGAGCAGTTGTTGGTGACCATTTACAAGAATCAGCCACTTCAGTTCAGGTATTTACCAAATTTATCTATTTTGTATAATATATTGATTGTTACGGAGACTTCTTATTCAGCTTTTCAAAAAGTATTTGTAAATTGGGTGCCAGCTAACTGTTTTATATAATGTTTGCCTGATTTTTAGACTACATTTTGTATACAGCTCTGTGTCAATGCTCAGTCTCAGTGAGTTTCTTTTTAATATTTACAGAAATTCACCAGCCTGATTTTGTTGATGTCTATAAATGCCACTTGTGTAAAAATTCATTAATTAATCAACTGTCCCACTGAATCCTTCACTTTTTACCTTTATAATGATTTTTAAAAGAATTAGCTAAACTGAGATTTCAAAGATGTTTTAAAGCTCCAGAAAACAATGTCTCTTAATTTTGTCTATGAAAGACCTAAGAAACTTCAATATAGTTTTGATTACAGAAGAAACCAAGCAGAATTTGAAACCTCAACCTGTACTAAAGACTATAGGGAACTGAAAGATAAATAATTTGAAAAAGACAGACTTGGACCTCATAAATATCAGCTACTAGAAAATCTGGGATGGTAAAGGTGTGAGTGAAATGGATTTAATGTTTGAAACAGTCATAAATTAACTTACTATGGTTGTATTTACTTGCTTAAAATTTCTAGCAAATGTAAATTTATATTTACTTCTTGGAAGTAAGTATGTCACGGAGAGTATCTTTGCCCACAAGCCATATACTTGATCCTTTTCTGGTCCAAATTCCTTCAGAGAAGAAAATATTAGGATTTATTTTAACCTGCAGTAGCCCCTAATGATACCCAGTCCTTAGTTATACCCAGTGCAAGTCATCTTTCCTCAACCTGGACCCCAGGAGTGTGGAAGAAAATATTCCCTTAAAAATCACTGCATTTTATTGACAGTTTATAACTGTATCACTTGCTCCACAGGCTTATTTTAAAGATACTGAGAATGAAATCAGAATCTACAAACTTCTTCTTCAGTTACCTTTTGCTAAGCAAACCATTTTCAATTGAAAATAATTCCAGAGTCTGAGTGTAAATTGAAATGGTTGTACATTATTGCTTTGAAACCTTTGATACATTAAGGTACTGTAGAAATTATGGTACTACCAGACAGTGTGCATAGCTACTCACTTTTCATTTGACTTTGAGTATCTGAAGTTTAATTTGCTAATTTAATTATTACATGGTTTGGCTAATGTGTATTATTCCTATTAAGTAATTTATTGTTAAGGCAGAAGCTTGCAGTTTTAAATGTGTGAACTAATTATGCAATGCAAAGCGAAGACTGATGGTTTTGACCTAATCCTCTCCCAATCTGGTTTTATCTTACTAGAGTATAAGATGACATTGGTTTTGGATGATCTTCATTTTATAGCATTTGAACTTTTAACATTATCGGATAATGAATTTTTAAAACATTAGCCACTTCAAAAATATTTTGCATTACACAAGTTAATAGAAATTATTTATGTATTATTTTGATAACTGGATATAGGAGATCATAAAGCAGATGGGCTTTATAGTGTATTCCAGATCTAAATTTGAATCTTGACTCAGCCTCTTGTAAGCTTCATGATTTTGGACAAGTTGTTCTGAACTCAGTAGTCTGTAAAAAGGAGAAAATATCTACCTCAGAGGACTTTTTTTTTTAAAGATGTATTTATTTATTAATACAAGCTTCTGAAGCTTGTATTAAGCGCGGGAGGGTGAGAGAATTCACCAGAGCCAGAGCGGGAAACAGAACAGGCAGAAGGACTGAAGTACACTGCTGAGGGGAGCAGCGGGCGGCAGGAGAGGGCTGCGGGCAGCTTCGCAACCCAGCGCTCAACCGCTGCGCCACCGGGGAGGCCCTACCTCAGAGGACTTTTATAGAGATAAATGATGATAAATTTTTAATGCGTGAAAAAAATACTGAAAAATAAGAAATTTGTAATATGATTCTATTTCGTTTAGAACAAATGTTTAGATGTGGCAAGATTTCCTAATATTTGTTTGGCCCAGTCCTCCGGCATTTTATTTTTCCTGAATGGGTTATGCAAAATGAGTGTAATTTAAGAGATGGATATTGGAAAGGAGGAACAGCTAGAAGGGGCTGAAAGAGAAGTTTGGGAGGAAGCTGAGTAGGGAAATAGACAAGCCCTGCTGAGTAAGTGACTGAGTTAGAAATAACATCCATTTTTATCCTGTTGTGAAGGAGTCTCTTGGCCTGCAGTTTCTTCATATTTCAGATTCTGCTGGAAAGTACATTAATCTAGAACTCTAGGAGAGAATTAGATTTATTAATATTTGTCTCAAAATGTTTCTCATAGTCACTACATTGTTGGGAACATCACAGAAGTTCTCACATATTCATGGCATTACACATTGTTTTTAATGATAAAACTTAAAGATTATTTATTTTCCTGTCACATCTTACTTGAATGCAGTAATTCACCCTGAGCAGAGCATCATCAAGTGATTTTGTCCAGATTCTGCTTTAACAGGATGTTGTGAGAGCCTTTAAATCAGAGCTCAGTTAGATCAATTAACAAGCATGAGAACAGTTTTTTTTAATATTATGAATTCAGACAAATGGTATAATTGTCATTTCAAATTTTTTTTCTACTTTTCCCTATATATGACATTGTATAGGTCTCTCTTTCTCAGTACTTTCCTTCTTGCAGTCTCCAAAACAAAAAATCTCAACATTTTAATAAATATATCTTCCTTGGGCCTCCCCAGTGGCGCAGCGGTTGAGCGCTGGGCTGCGAAGCTTGTGCAGCGCCGGTTCGATCCCCGGCCACCAGCGAGGGCCCCACATGGCATGCAGACCTCTCCTGCCGCCCACTGCTCCCCTCAGTAGTGTACTTCAGTCCTTCTGCCTGCTCTGCTCCCCGCTCTGGCTCTGATGAATTCTCTCACCCTCCCGCGCTTCTGACTATACCCAATGCTTGTATAAATAAATAAATAAATCTTTAAAAATATGTGTGTGTATATATATATATATATATATATATCTTTCTTGCATGAGAACAATCAATTATTGCAGTTTTATTATAGTTGTAACTTAGATGGAAAAGAATCAGTGAAGAAATCTTTTGGGCCTCCCCAGTGGCACAGTGGGTTGAGCGCAGTACTGTGAAGCTGTCCTCAGCCTCTGCATCATGGGTTCGATTCCCAACTGGCCAGGGAGATACCCACATGGCACGGCAGACCTCTCCTGTCTCTCCCGCTGCTCCCCTCAGCAGTGCCTTCAGTCCGTCTGCCTGTTCTGCTCCCTGCTTTGTCTCTGGTGAATCTTCTCACCCTCCCACGCTTCTGGCCTGTATCCCAGCTCTTGTACAAATAAATAAATCTTTAAAAAAAAAAAAGAACTTTTCAAACTTTTATAAAATGTTTTTAGTCAAAGTAGTTCTCAAATGTGGGTCCAGTAAGCCTGGGGTGGGGGATCAAGCCTTCATATAAAAGCAACACATGAACATTTATTAAGAAATATTATAATCCCTTCAGTGAGTTTTTTTCCCTGAGAAGCCAGAGTTTAATGTATTTTACTCTCTTGTTAACATTCTTGTAAGTTATAGAGAAAGGCAAGTAGTGGTATTTGTATTATACAAATGGGATGGGGACAAATATTGTACAAATTATGCCAAACTGTTCTTCACTTTTTAGGCTGAGATTTATAGCTAAACAAAATGCTCCCTCCTCCCCGCTAAAAAACCCTCCTTACTTTCAAAGTAGTCCTTTTTTCCAAAAGGCTATTATATATCTTAAAGTTTTCTTCTATTTTAACCTGTTAATTTTCTAGCAAGAAACCAATTTTCTAGAGAGAAATCCTGCTTGAAATAGCTAACACATTTTTCTTTTTCTTTTTCTTTTTTTTAAGATTTTTTATTTATTTATACAAGTGCTGGGGTGCAGGCCAGAGGTGCAGGAGGGTGAGAGAATTCACCAGAGATAGAGCAGGGAGCACAACAGGCAGAAGGACCAAAATACACTACTGAGAGGAGCAGTGGGCAAGGCAGGAAGGGTCTGCCGTACCATGTGGGTAGCTTCCTGGTCAGAGGGGGGATCGAACCCATGCTGCTGCTGGCTGTAGCCAGCTTCACAGCGCTGCCTGCGCTCAACCCCTTGCATCACCAGGGAGGCCCGCCAAAGCATTTTTCTTTGCTGTATGGCAGAGAAATAATATCACAAGCACTGCATTTAGCGTTTGTTAAACTGTTTAAATATTGTTCTGGATGTTACTTGAGAAGTTAGGTAATTGGTAAATAATCTCTTTATATTAATTGGCTATAGAAAAAGAAGCTATGAGTCATTTTTTCTTATTAGCCATCTAATTGATAATGCTACTGGGAAAATGTTATTAGATGAAGATTTGTTTTGAGAGCTTTAAATAAGAGTGTCGCAAAAAGAAAGAGACTAATACTTAGGCTTATGTTATTTTGAGACTAAAATTACTGATTACTTCACCAAAAAGTCAGCATTCTCAAATGAGTGTAACTAATTCTACATGTAACTAATTCTACATTTTCACCTTCATTTATATAATCATCTGCCTATGACTGAAAAAAAAAAAAGCAACAAAATTTTATGACTTCCAATTATAAATAAGTCCTGTGGATGTAACATATAACAGAGTTACTGTATTAATATTATCATATATATTTGCAATTTGCTAAGAAAAGTACATCTTAAAAGTCCTCATCACACACAAAACAGTTATAGCTATGGATGGTGAAGAATGTTAGTAGACATGGTGGTCAGTATAGGTTGATCCTGTAACAGTGAGCTCGGGATTATGGGCATCAATACTTCTCCCCTTGTAAGTAGAAAATCTGAGTATAATTTTTGACTCCTCCAAACTTACCTACCAGTTGTCCCTTGGTGTTCACAAGGATTGGTTTCAGGACCCCCTGGCAAATTCACCAACGTACACAGTTGGCTACATTTGTGCATGTGGACCCGGGGCAGTTCAAATCATGCTGGTTGTTCAAGGGTCACCTATATACATATATAGAGTTATATTACGGTGC